GTTTTTGTTGGAACCGACGACTTCGCTGGCAGTACCGGGACTTTTGGTGGATGAGCTGGCAGACTTCGCATCGGCTACCTCCGTCATAGTGGTTGTTTCGGACTCTCCGTCGAGTCCCCCATATGCACACCTTCTCAATAGTTCGTCGGTCAGCTCCAGGACCGCCTCGAGCACACCCACAGTACTAATACCCATGTCGACACAAACATTCGACGCTTTCTCAGCCAAGTCGGGGAAAACTTCGCGGAAGAGGTCGGGCGTGCTGGACGTGGTAGAAATATAAAAACAATCTGCAACCAGCTCACGTAAATCGTAGCATGACCCAATACTCGTCTAGCCGAATTCTGTGGCGGAGTTTCTGCCTAGCCTGGCACGCTAAGCTAAGGTCCTCAGCTCGGGCACCGAGCCTCGGTGGAGAACACGGTGTCGCAGTCACTGTCTCTAGGGCAACGAGAGATTGAGCGGACACGGAGGCAAGTCGACGAGTGGTCAGCCACGCGAGGCGGCCGTCCTAAACTCGTAGAGCCACTCTAGCCCGATCAACTCTGGGTATCAGCTTGGTCTAACCCCGAGACAGAGACGCACAGAACCCAGGTCTCATGATGAGACTAACATCCCGCCGGGATGATCCCGGCAGGGCTACTACTCGAGACCACCTCGAGAGTCACGACAGCTTCCGCTTGTCGTTCTTTACCCCACCATCCAGCCACTAAGGGAGTGACTCAATCATGGTGTCAACCATGTGATATTGTTATCAACAATTCGTTGACGTCCCAATGGTTCGGACCCTACGTCATAGGTCGGTGCTGTAGGGATAGCGATCCCAGCCTATATTTGACCTGCCACTTCAGGGCGGCACATGACTGGGCCACGTTGGTTCCCTACCAAGTCCCAGTCAGTGCTTAAAACACAACATATTAAGTGAAACCGCACAATGATGGAAAAATTAGTCTTAAACCTGCCACTTCATACACGATATTCGATGAACCTGAAGAAAAGAAGCAAATGGATGAAAGGAAAGAACCAAGAAGACTGAAAGGAAGAAAGAAAGAGGAAAAAAAACTAAACACCGTCACACCCAAGATAGCTCGTCTGATGCCTAACTAAGAGTGCTTGAGGGTTTCCAACAGGAATTCTCAAGCACTCTGGGGGAACTTTCTCTGTTCTTGGGTGTATGTTCCGAAGGTGATCAGACTGGATCACTGCTTTAGCAACGACTTGACGTCTTGCTTTTCTCTTGAAATTCCGTCATCTGTCTTTCGGCTATCCGTGAACTTGCTCTCTTGGGAGACCTTCACTCCCGTTGGAGTAGATTGATCATCGACGATACCACCGTTGATGATTTCCATGATGGAAACAAAGGGGGATCAGTGTTATTCGACAGCTTACGACGTTGTAGATAGTGGGCCGTGCACCATGGGCCACACTGATTCCCAGCACACGCCGTCTCTCGAAAGTCGACCATCCGGGTTTTGGTACCGTTGAGGGTGAGGCGAACTCTGACATAGGTTCTCCTCGTTGTCAAGATAGTAATATTACTATGGCGTAACGTTAAGACTTCGCCCAATCTCAATGTGAGAGAGAAAGCCAATAGACATATGGCCTTCACCATGTCGTTGGTAGTGCCATAAGTTGTCGGCAGATAATAGAGCTTCTTTAAAGCTATGAGGGGGATGAGGCCTGCGCGTTTTGGGGGAGAGCGGACCGGAGTTAATCGGTCGGCTGCGGCTAACGCTCTCGAGACTCTGACTGCGTCCGAAGCCGATAGAAGATCATGCCCCGCCGTGATAGCCGAGGTTCGGACTGCTGAAACGTACGAGCGAATGGTGGAAGCTTTTAAGCATCCTGTCATTGTCAACATTCTGATGAACGTCTCGAGTTTCTCCCCTGTGGGGGGAAACTGGCCACCAAAAGATACCACCGAAGGGGAGTAGCATAAGACTCCTGGGTTGTGTGTTTGATGGAACACTCTCTGAAGCATCGGTTCAAAGTCGCAGCTTCTGTTGAACCTTCCGCTGGTTCGACTCGAACCGTTCGAGCGCCTTCAAGCGTAAGAGACGATCCTCAGTGTGAGATGACATAAAGAATGTAAATGAAGATCCTAACTGAGAGCCTGGAATTCCCAGGCTAGAGCACAACGCAAGATACGGGCCGAGTGGAACTGTCGGGTCACAGCACTATAGTGATTCATACTACGAGCTAACCTTTGTGCTCGGGGTACTGTGACAGTCTGCCCCTGACAGAGAACGTAGGTTGCTCACCGCATCCGCTTACCATGGTATAAAGTGCCACCGCCGAGGTACATAGTGTAGAATGGTGTCACGTTGGTTGCGACTTGAGAAATCACAGACGACATTAGTAGTTGATGGGATAAAGGAGGCAGAAACCGATGCCTCCCACATTTCGATAGACGACAACAAGCGTTGGAGCACTTGAGATGAGGACTTCCACTTATTTATGACGTGGACCATCGCCAAGTTATCAAGAAAAAGATGGATCCTAACTGGTCCACTATCTTGGTAAGTAGAATCCCAGGCTAAAATGGACTGCACCTCTGTCACTCCTTTGACGGCAGCTATGAGTTCTAGAGTGTTGATGTGCTTCGACTCTAGTTGATCCTCCTGGCCTTCGGTACAATACGAAGCCACGGACTGCCATAATTTAGTATCGTCCAAATTATGTAGATGGAACCACCACATAGTATCGTTCACCAAAGAGAACGATTTCGTCATTGTATTGCCGCATATCTCGCAAAGGACGCCTCCGAGCCCTTCTAGGGAAGCGTCGGTGAAGACTGCGAACCGTCGTGCAGTTCTAGCTGGGACAAGCACACCTGGGAACTGCTGTAGTTCGTGAGTGAAGAAGGCAATGCTGTTCTCAAAAGCTGCGCCTGGTCGAATAGATCTCAATCCATACTTGTTTGCAACTGATGCAGTTGCGAATAAGGGGGCCAACCATCTCTTCCATGCTCGCCGTAGT